AATAAGAGTTTTTGGAGCACTTAGGAACAGTAACAGAAAAAGGATGAGACTTAATTGAATGACGAGTAACACGAGAATAAATTGGCACAAGAGACGCTAGTTCTTTAGAGCAGTGTCCATTATAGTATTTGTAGAAAAGAGAAAGAGAAGCAACATTACGACTATGTGACAAAAGTTGAAGGTTTGCTGCAAGAGCAGGTCCAACTATGTTTACAATCCGTTTTTGCACCTTGTCTAAAAGAGAAAGGGCATCATTAGAAGATCCACCCCAGATATGGCAACAGTATTCCATACAAGGCCGGATTTGAGATTTATAGAGATAGAGAATAGAATCCAGAGTAAGAAAGTGACGAGCTCGATAAAGAGAAGCGACTTTAGCAGATGCTAATTTTGCAACGGATTTGATATAAGGTTTCCAAGAAAGATCAGAGGTAAGAGTTAATCCTAGAAGATGAAGGATAGGAGACTCATCGAGTACAATACCGTTCATGAATATAGGAAGGTCTAAATTATTGCGATAATGATTGGCTGAAAAAAATTGAGTTTTATCTGAATTAAAGTTCACCAGGCACTGTGAGCCCCATGCTGTAGCAGAAGTGAGATCCTTTTCAAGCTCAGATGCCCCCTGCAAGCAATCAGAGGGAGTTGGCTTCTTATCGTGACAAAAATAAATGGTAGTATCATCAGCGAACAATGCCACCTTAGATATGAGAGTATCTGGAAGATTGTTAATGTGAATTAAAAAGAGTATAGGGCCAAGGATTAAACCTTGAGGAACCCCTGAGGTTACAGAATAAGAAGAAGAGTGCTGTCTATCAAGGACAACTTTTATACTACGATTAGAAAGGAAGGACTCAATAATCTTAAAGATGTTTCCAGATACACCGTAAGAAGAAAGCTTATGGGGAATACCAGTATGCCAAACTTTATCAAACGCTTTAGAAATGTCAAGAGCGATGGCCTTAACCTCTCCACCTTTATCTAATGCGCGATCAAACCTATCGGTTATTACTGTTAGCAAATCAGCCGTAGAACGAGAAGATCGAAATCCATATTGATAATCAGAAAGTAAGTTATGAGATTCGAGATGAAAGATTATGTGTTTGTTAATTAAAGATTCAAAAACCTTGCTTATGATAGAAAGAAGACTAATGGGACGGTAGTTAGACGAATCGGATCGCTCACCAGAATTTTTAAAAATTGGGATAACAGATGCTGCTTTCCAGCAGGCTGGAAAACAAGACTCTGATAAGCACTTGTTAAATAGTTTTGAAAGGATAGACGACAGCTCCGGAGAACACTTCTGCAAGACTATAACAGGTATTTTGTCCAGGCCGCAAGCTGTAGAAGAGTCTAAGCAGGAAATCACTTTAGATGCAGAAGCTGGAGTGATACGGATGTCGAGCAGTGGATCAACCTGTTTGACGGCTATATCAGGTAGAACGCAACTAATGGAATCAAGAGATTATATTGATGAAAAGTTCTTGGCAAACAATTCAGCTTTGTCTTTAGGTGAGGTGACTAAGTCTGAACCGTACAAAAGAGGTAGAATTACAGACTTGCCCTTATTATTGATACTATTAAAGATTCTCCAGAAGTCACGAGAGTCAATTTTTGTGATGAAATACGAGATTTCATGATCTGAGAATAGCGGGCTTCGGCGTTAGACAAAAGATTTTTACAATGGTTCCTAGCAGCAGTAAACAGACGTCTGTTTTCTGGAGAATTGTTTTACTGATAGATATGGAAGTAATGATTTTGATTGGCTATTGCAGCAGCACAATGTGAGGAAAACCATGGAGAAGAGTGAGGCTTGACCTGGAATCGTAGAGAGGGAATAAAGGATTCCATACCAGCCTGAATCCATGAAGTTATGTAAGAAGCACATTTCTCAACAGGAAGACGAAAGATTTCTACCCAGGGGCCATCACAAAGAAAGTCACGAAAAGAGTCCCAGTCAGCTTTAAGGTAGTTGTAAGATGTACAATGATAGGGGGATTCTGATGGTAAAAAAGAATGAGATAATAGTTTTAGAGAGACCAAACCATGATCAGGCGCACCTAAGGGTGAGTGTGAAGAAACTGAACACTGACTAGGATCAGAAACAAGACATAAGTCGAGTAGAGAAGGTAAATGATTCGGGTTGTCTGGAAAGCGAGTTGGAAAGTTGACTATTTGAGTTAGGGATTGAGAAAGACAAAAGCTGTGGGCCTTAATGCCTGCAGAGTCACTGACACTAGAGCCAAGCCATTCAGTGTGATGAACATTAAAGTCACTGACAACAACAATATTGGCTAATGGATAAAGAATGAGGGCTTGATCAATATAATCAGAAATAACGTCAAGAAGAGTGCAGTCTTGAGATGAAGGAGAGCAATATAGGACAAAGAGAAAGGTGATAGAGTGAAGTGGTGCTAAACGAAAGCTAATAAAAGAGTAGTCTGTGGATTCAAACCTAGTTTCCCGACAAATGGGTGAATTCTTACGAATGTAAATGCCTAGGTCAAGCATGTGGCTATTGGAGTCTTTAAGAATTAAAGGAAGATAACCATCAACACTAAGATCACAAGATGAGGCAGCTGAAATCAAATTAGTCTCACAAAAAGCAAGTAGGTCTAGTGAACTTTGCAAGAGATAAGACTCATAGAAGAAAAGTTACTTCGAAGACCACGAATATTGGTGAATGATAGGTTTAGCAAACTTGGTGATGACTGTGGTTTTTGAAACAAGTTCTTTAAATTTGTTGAAGAACTTGACTTAAAACATAAATAGTACTCAGTACACTGTTTTATAGCCCAAGCAATTGCCTCATTTCCACTAATAAACCCTAAGCCGTAACTAAGGGCTCCAATGTGGCCTTGGCAATACACACCAAAAGTACAAACAGGGACACCATCCATGCGCAACATGGCACTGTTAGTACTCTGATATTTTTCAGCTGTTGATGGAATCAGCTCCTCTGAGACCTACCACAGAGTTCAGGAAACCTGACTACCAGCCGCCCTCAGAACCATAAAACTGAGTTTTAGAGCTGTACCCTTATTTGGAGATAATAGAATGAGTTGCCTAGTCATAGACACAAGCAAAACCCATGCATCGAGTCAAGAATATCCAGTGTTTAACATTCTAAACTGGAAACAATGTATTAAAAATACATCTATGCCAGCCTAATAGATGGAGAAGGGGTGTGAGGCTGGTCAACAGATAGAATTTGTTTACCCCTTAAGTCTTAGCCTAGAAGGCCTTCTACAAGACAGCAGCCGGATGCATTTAACATCTGCTTAAGATGAGTATTTTTATCAAGACACCATCTCTAGCCCCTACTCAACCAAGAGCCCCAAGGCAGGGGGTGTTTTATGTCGGAGTTTGCATCTCCTAGCCTTTGCCTAAAAAGGCATATCCTACAAGGCAGCAGTAAATGAAGCAGATTGTACTGGGTTACATGTTCCCAGTAGCAGGATAAACCTGACCTGACTGTAATATACATAAACACACACACACATATATATATATACATATATATATATATATATACATATATATATATATATATATATATATATATATATATATATATATATATATAATATATATATATATATATATATATATATATATATATATATATATATATATATATATATATATATATATATATATATATACATATGCTTACTAAAGCATGTTTTGATAAGCATTTCCTCACTTTTTTTGCTTTTTTTTTTTTTTACTTTAATTCACCTCTTTAAGGCCGAGAAGGCCACTACAGACGAGGAGGCTACTTATTTGTGGTTATAACCCTCTCTCAACTCTATAACTCCAAAACACAAACCTTGACGAGCAAGGCCGCTGCGCGGAGAAACGAGTTGAGCGCGGTACTACCAGGGACGTGGTGGGGATCGAACTCGGAACCACTCGTTTATGAAGCGAGTCCTCTACCACTACACCACTACCGCACTACTGCTTACCTTAAGCCATACTGTTTTTTTCGAAAAAAAAGAAAAAAAAAGAAGAATGATGAATGAAACGATTGCTGCCCCATCCCAAACCCTCAGTCGATGTAGCAGGACTCCACTGCGAGTCAGGCTATTTTTCAGTCGATGTATGTACTGAAGCCCCCAGCAGCAGGCTATTTTAGTATGACATCAAATTGCTTACCTTAGTACACAATACTATTTGTATTTATATATATATATATATATATATATATATATATATATATATATATATATATATATATATATATATATATATATATATTTATGACAATTTATATGAATTTTTTCCAAAAGTGTCTTATAATTTTGTTGCACTAAAAAAAAAGTTTTTTTAAAAAAAAATGCGAGTTAGATTTAAAATAAATTTTTTTTATATGTTGTTTAGTTTTGTAATCCTTTTGCTCTCATTTACTATAAAAATTATTATATTAGTTTTTAAATATAAATGTATAGTAGAGTTTTATAAATATTTTTTGGGTGTCTTATCATTATGTCGGGCAGTGTATTTTTAATGTTTATTATCTTGTATCTACATAAACAGCTATAGCTTGATTGGTTCCAGCGTTGGTCTAATAATCCATGAGTTCCAGGTTCAATTCCCGCTCTGAGCCTTTTATGTTAAGCTTATTATTTTATATTTGTACTTTTTATACTTTGCGTATCTATTCAAAATTTCTTTTTAATTTAATTTAATTTTTTTATCCTTTCTCTGTTCCTAATTTTTTCCTTTTTTCACTTGGGCTTGACAGTTTGGTCTTGTCCTTTGATGCATATTTCTGCATTTTTTATAATTATTTCAAAAAGAAAATATACTTTTAAGTATTTCAAACATGTTTTCTCTAAAATACTGTGTTTAAATGATTTTTTATACATTATTTTCTAATAATAAAAAGTTACGCTTTACTTAAATTTGGGGAAATACCCAAAATTAAATAAAATAACCCTAAGCATTTGGACGCCTAAAAAAAAAGAGTGCTGCTTAAAGTATTAACCTACTTATAC